TTTCAGGGTGGAAACAAAATTTGAGAAAGAGGGTGGAGGAGGATTATAGGAAAAGCGATATTAATGGATGTGTGATCGATGGGAGTATGGGAGGGAGGGAAGGAACCCAGTGTGACCCCCAACAAAAAGAGAACGCCCCAACGAAATTAAAAGAGGTCTAAAGAAAGAGAAAACATTATGAAAAAAAAAGGAAAGCAAACAGAAGGATGATCTTCTGCAGATCAATCGTCGTGCGAGTACTTTGGTTGACAGGCCGGCCAGTTTGGTTTGGCCACTTGCTGCGCCGCGCACGGACCGGCTTTCGATTTTTTGAATTCTTGGATTTCATTCATTTTGAAATCTACTGTAATATCTACTTCACATATTCGTAACTAATCTATGTTATGTTCTTAACAACCAACACTTTTGACATAATATTTGAAAACATTATTCGTGAGATCTTTCTAACATATTTCAAAACATTACAGTAGAATGTATGGGGAGTTCTTTGGTTTGGCTGTTTGCGTAAAGACCACTGAGAAGCCATCAAGTTTATTCCATTTTTAATCAGTAAGCAGCTGAGCTGTGCCAACCCAAAGTTTAAGTAACATGATGCTAAACGGAGACACCTCTCCTTAACACAGTGAAATACCAGCGTTGATCTCTTTTCCCAGAAGCAAGGGCTCTGCTGTTGTAACATACTGCTTGATACATAGCCACTGGCTCGATGGTATGCATTGAGAAAGTGACCCTCACCGATGCAGAAGCTTTGTGCATTGTGATTTCGAAGAAACAGGGGCTCCCAGCCCCGGGATGCCGGAAGTCAACGGGTATCATGCCGGATACCTCACGGGTATGCAAAACAGAAAACTTTGAGAGAGAAATTTGGCCCAATCTTGAAGTCAGCAACTTTTTCAGAACCAAACCCTTCACCATGCTTCTTTCCAAGACAGAGGCATCCTATCTATCTGAATCTATCAAACCTGCCACTGAAAGTGCTCACCCTCTACGTGCCGATGGACGTCCGCTACTCTCCTTTAGACCCATCAACATTATCACCAATGTTTCTGCCCAAGCCAATGGAAGTGCTAGATGTCAACTTTCGACATCATCAAGCAGAATATTAACTGATGTCATGGTAGGATGTAAGTTAGAGGTAGATGAACGTGACTTCAATTCGATAGGGGCCAAGGTGGAATGTACAGTCGATTGGTGAGCCTTTGATTGATGTGGATTTGTTTAACTTCAAAGTCTGCTTCCCCTTACATTCGAATTGCTAGATTAATTGAAGAAATATCTTTGGGTCAACAGATTTCACTGATAAGCTGTTCGGAAACATTCTACTTCAGTCCACCTGCTACTCTCAACACTTTAGCTTCAGATCCATCACCAATGTATACGATTTATTTGAATTCGATCTTTTCACCTTTAGGCTCTTCCAAGCAACTCAAAATCTCTTCAACTCAAACATGGGCTCTTTATATCGACGTGATTGTGCTTTCGGCTTCAGCAGGAAATCTGATGGATGTAATGTGTTTGGCCGTTCGAGCTGCCCTAAGCGATCTCAAGATACCAAAAACTAAAGAACTCGGCTATCAGATTCAGAAACCTGCCCGGCCGACTATTGATGGAATGGAGGTAGATATATCAGCTGATAAAAGTGAAGGAATGGATGATGTTGGAATCAAGAGCTTTTTGAAAAGTCGGAAACCATTGGTTGCTGGTACACATGGGCCTGGTGGTGGCAAAGCAATTAACTTTGAACTGCAAGATACCGATGGAAATCTTGGTGACCGATTGATCAATAAAGACGATATACCCGTGGTGATTACTGTCAATGTGGTATGTCTTCAATACTCGTACGGCTAAATGCAATCATACCTTAAATCTTGGGTCCGCTTCTATATCAGCTTGGAGACCAACTGTTTCTAGATGCCACATTGGAGGAAGAAACGCTCACTGCCAATCGAGTCATACTCTCATATGGCTCGCCCGCCTATGGCCCGAAAATGTCGGGCTGCGTGCCGTCTCGGGGCTTCTTGGCTCCCCTTTT